TAGTTAATTTTGTGTTTGTAATTCTGTACATTTTAATTAAGTTATTGTTTATTGGTTTATTGTATGTGGTCATTGTTCGGGACGAACAATACTAAGGAGGGGGCAGTGTTGTGTCAGCGAGGTCACGTGACTAGTGTCACGCCACGTTTCTAGAACTATCCTGTTCCTTCGTGAATGCCCCAACATTTACTAGATATATGTTAGTCTGGTATATATATAAGGCGCTCACAACGTGACGGGACAATGTGTGTGTAGGTAGTGAGTAATTGAACTGCAGTCAGAAAGTATTGTTGAAGTTAACATTCGTTGATATAGCGTTTGTTATAGAGCGACTGTTGAAAATAAGTGTATCGTAAAGTTGTATTCGGAAAGAATAAACCAGTTTTATTAAGAAAGGACTTGTGTCGCTGTATCAACTAAAGCAAGTTGATACATAATCTTATGATATTGCAAGGAAATCAAAGTGACGTCTGCTCTCAAAATAAACAAGACTTGCGAAAGAAATTAGATTGAGACACAAGTAAGATGTACTTGTTGATTATTGAAAGTCTTAACTTATTGCATATACTCACTTGATCATTATTCCTGATTTGACGTTATTCTTGAGAACTGTATAATGGTGTTAGTCATTATTTCCTGTAATCTTACGAATTAGTTATTTATTGCTTGTCTCTTTTTTTAATTCCTAATTATACTCTGCAATTTGAAATGGACAAAGTTGCTGTTTTTTTTTTGAATATTTGTGTTTGAGTTGTTTTCTTAGTGTAAAATTATGTAATTGGCTATCAACACTCTGTCTACTGCGGGGAATTGAACTCCGGATTTTAGTGTTGTAATTGTGTAAACCTGCCTGCCGACCCATCGAAAGGGGGACCTGTGTTTAAGATATATTGTTACAAAAGATGTAATTAGGCACTAATTTATCAACTTCCGAAATTTGTTGAGCTTTTGTGGTGATTAATAAATTTGTAGTTGTTTGTGCTACTTTGTAGGTAACATGATCATTTGATATGTTACAGTTATGAGGAAAACTAAGTTTTACTAGCGTCAAATTAAAGACGAACTGCGATTTTGTATTTAATTCAACCTAGATGTCACTCCTGAGTTGTACCGGATGGATTTCATCAGCTAAGCCTAAGTAATATTACTATATTATGAGTTTGTCGTAAAGTGTATGTGCCAAACGTAAAAAGAAATGGCAAGTTTATTATTTGATTTAATAGTTATTTATCATCAGTTTAATTTGAGTTATTATGTAACTTGTTTGTTTTGTTCATTTCTTAATATGAAGGATTTTATGCAAATTTTAAAACCTGTATTATTATTATAATTTATGTTATTAATATTATTGGTTACTGCCTAATAATAATAGTAATGCTATTACTCTATTAGTATTTAGGTATGTATTACATTTTCGCGAGAAAATATTATTTATTATAATAATTATATAATTTATTTTAAACTAATACCATGGTAATGGTTCCTAATACTAGGGATCGCCCATGTGTTATTTTTAATTGTTATTTCATTTTCATATTGTTCCTCCAGTCTACAGCAAAAATGACTGTAAGTATTGTAATAAAACACGGACAGTATTACTAACTGCATCATAGGGCATTGTGTAGGGTAGATTTAAGTTTATTTGACTACCTAGCAAATAACACCAGTGTATAACCATTAACACCCTATCATTTTAATGTAGTCTGTGGTTTGTATGGAACCTCATAGTAATATACATGCATACATGATATATAGTTGCATGTAGGTTGCGGATGTAATATAATGTTTATATGGCAGGCATGACACATGTACCATAGCAATTGTGAACTTATTGTTGCAACTGTATTGATTGTGTATGAATAGGGTTCCTTCTCTTTCAGACATGACACTGGTGAGAGGATAAATTTTTTTTAACCACTGCGTGATCAATTTGGGCCATGTTACACAAATGCCTAAAAGGTTACACAATCATCTAAACCCTTATACAAATTTCTAGGCTGTCTCTCAAAACAGAAACCTTTAAGCCATAGTTTAAAAGATAGCACCAAGCTCAGTTTCAAGCATCAGATCAGCAATCATGGTGATGGCTGATGGTAAGTGTCGAATTGTAGCTAATAATGTGTGATTGATAATTTTATAGATACTGCGGATAGAATAGACTTCCTTGAAGCTGACTATAAGGAGTGGCAAGACTCCTGCAAACAGGAGATGGTGATTCTAGGCGAAAGTTAGGCAGAAATTTTACAGCTATATATTTTATTTAGAAGGTGTTTAGTTTCAGATAAAGTATGCAGTAGCAATGATTTAGAAGTATCATGACCCAAACTCCATCAGAAATAGAGGGGGAAAAGTATATTGATATAATCAATTCACAATTGTTGATTAACATGTTTTCAACCTTGTAGACTGTACAGAATGTCACTCTTAAGAGGAACTCTGGCCAGCTGAAGCCAAACCATGACCAGTGGAGAGGAGGAAGGGGAATATAATAAATATAAAAAATATTAACTATGCTTATCTGTATACATATGCTATTATATTATGACACATTGTCTTTATTTGCATGGAATATATATGAGCGCATCTATACAACTTGAAAAATTCATGTGGCTAGCTATATATATATGGCTTTACAACTTTAAAAAACTATAAAGCCTGCATGTATATATATATAGATATAGATATAGATACGAGCCAACATGCATTGCATGTATGTATAAAATCAAGACCATGCACCATTCCAGTATAGTTCAGTAGTCCATCCAATCCAGACTCCCCATATAGCTACAGGGTATACATATAGTAGCTATATACATTTTACAAGCATATATGTAACATGTGGTATGTTGATCACCATACATAATAGTGATCGTACATGCAGCACCACTATCAAAGATAACATTGTGGCAATGATATCAGGAGCAATAGCCAATCCAATGGTTGTTATTGTTTCCTGAAATAGCATCATACACCAAGTATGTATTTCATTAAACTAAATGTTTCAAATAGGACTACAACTAGTATACAGATTTATGTCCATAATGGACATAAAAAACTAAAGAAATATGATTATTAAAAATTGTTAACTTAGAAGAGGGAATATGGATCGTCAAACAAGTACAAGATAGGTAGGTTAAAGTGAAAATGCAATCGTCAGTAAAATAAACAAACAAACAAGCTTAAGGTTTGAGATATAGTGTTGAAATTATCTCCTCAAAATAGGGATTTGTAGCTTGAGGAAATAATGTCTACACTATATCTCAAACCTTAAGCTTGTTTGTTTAATTTTTTGACAATTGCATTTTCACATTTAGCTACCTTTCTTGTTTCTGTAGTTATTGAATTTCCCCCTTTTTTAATTAATAATTTTTAAAAATCAAGTAAATAAATACCAATAATTATTATCATACAGTATTAATTTTATAGCAGGCATGCTGTTGAAAACTTCCATCTGTTCTGAATCATTAATTTTTAATAGTCAATATTTATAATTTATGTTCACCATATGAAAATAAAAATCAAGTTTTGTAAGATACTGACATACAGAGACTTAAGTCGATGAAAATATCAGCTAGGTTTATTAATTATAATTCGATAAGCACTTGTCATTCTATTAGTTTGGAAAGGTTTAAAATCTAGTATCAGAAGTCATTAAAAAAGCAGTATAAAGTAAGCATTTGCATTTTACAAAGGAATTATTAGCATGGTTTTTGTTAAATTTAGTCAATTTATGTTGTATATCTTTACTTGAGAAACACCATATCCTTTGATAAGAAGCCAAGCAAGAGATTAGTTGGTTGGATGTTTATGGAATTAATGGAAGAGTTAAGTGTTAAGAAGTGGTTGGAAAATTAGCTTAGTGGTACAAAATATAGAATAGTGATAAATATACAGGTTTCCAAGTGGATGAACATGACTAGATAACAAAAGACCATTTGGCCAGCCAAAAAAAAATCATTCCAATCTGTCATAATATATAAGACTGTTTTGTTTAGGTAGTATTGATTAATTTAGTTTTGTGAGTGAATCTTTTATTATTGTTTAGTTTTTGTTATAATAAGAGTTAAAAGCAGACAATTGTAGAAGGTTTTCTTAATACCTTATTGGTGTTGAGAATATAGAAAGTGGCCAGACGACTAAGTAATAAAGATATAAATAGTGTGAGATGAGCGGGAGGCAGCAGACAGACAACAACAGACAGATAATAGCAAAAGAGAATATAGTTGTGTGAAGTTAAGTACCACATAGGTGATAGGCCTAACGTTTAATATGTTAGAGTGAAACTAACAGTATTAAAAAAGATAAGAAGGATAATTTTATTTTGTCAAAGCATGGTTCTAAAGTAATTGAATCAGCCTGAGTACACTTTGACAAAAGAAGCAGAGGATCTTCAGAAGAAACAAGACCAAACGAAATATGGTAACTTGTGCCACAACTGTAAGTGAATCATACACAGAATACTAGTACGATAATAATATAGAAAAGATATTTCGACTTGTCAACTG